GAATTTTTCAGACATTTTTTTATTGATATCGTGTTTCAGGAATCCTAGTTTCAGCATTAAACTCTCTGCGTTCACCGACTCCTGGTGAACCCCACTTTTTCGTATATGATACTGTTGTATTGGACGCAGGGTAATTTTTTGGTGCATTTTTTTTTAATCCGCGTCCAATAGGCTGACAAATACGGTAGTTTTTGCTTCTTTCTGGATCTTATTCCGATTTTGTCTTCTTTTTTTTTTTTTTTTTTTTTTAAATTAAATTTGTTTTGTTTTTTTTATATAACTTCACATCAACTTCTTCCCCCAAAGCATCCTTTTTGGTCATATTTTCATTCACAAAAGTTACATGAATCCTGTTCAATGTGAATCTAAAAGGATCCTCTTTGCATCATCGCTGTTACCTTATACTAGATTACCTTATACAGTGTTAGTATTCTATTGTCATCAGCAGAATTGTTCAACTATAAAAACGCTCCCTCAAAAACATGTAGATAAAGTGATGGGAATTTTTATCGTTTTTCTCTCAAGTACAACTCTTTAAAAAAATTAATTATAGAGCAACAAAAACAAGGTTTTCAACAGGCATTATCTAGATTGATTATATCGAATCAATTGCTAGGTCTGCTGCTTGGAAAGTTGTTTCACTGTGTCGTACTAGATAATTCTTCTTGTTAGAATCCGTCTTGCATATTTATAAATCGACCATTCGCCCGTGCATTGAATACTGCTGCCATAAACTGGTGTCATGCTAATATTGGGTTGGTGCATAATTACCAGGCGTTCTTAAACACTATTTATTATGAAAAAAGAAACATGACAATTCAACAATAACATTTTTAAATGAGTATGATTATCGACACGCATTTTTATAACCTGAAAATAAATTAATATTTTTATTAAAAAAAAAGTAAACAAAGCAGCAATTTTTATTAACAAATAACTCGCCTACAAAAACTATTATGCACCAACCCAATATTATATATCTTGAGATTCTTGAAAAAATCCAAAGAAAGGTCTGTAATGTTATAAATCTGGACCTGGCATCTCGACTTCAGTCACTTTCCCATCGATATGACATGGATACCCTCTATCTTTTCTATTTTCATGGCAATTATTCTGATGACCAGTTCTCCTTAGTGCCTCAACTGCATGAATTTAAGCGTGCTGCTAGATTGGCGATTAGGTCTCACTGTTTAACTGTTGATCTCACTAGGTGCAGCTCTATTCTAATCGTTTCTTTTCTGGCACTTCTCGCTTGTGGAACTCCCTTCTGAGTTCTTGCTTCCCTGACAATTACAGTCTTCAAAAATTTAAATGCAATGTCAATAGCGATCTTCTCTCTTCCTGTTCCTTTATTGTCCTTTTCCTTACTTCTCCTCGCTAAAGTTTTCTCATTCTCTTTTACTCTCTGTAACCCCCTGCGTCCCAGTGGCCTTTCTTACAGTGAGGTTCACCCTATACAAGGCTCGAGAGCGAGGTAGAGGTTTACTGAATAAGAGTCACAGTTTATGCAAATATATATGGTGGAAGATAACGTTTAACCTTAGATTTGAACAAGTTATGATTCCAGTGATCGGGAAAACATCCTCTTGAGAGTTGGTTACACAGGGTAGTGGTTAGCGAGAACAAGCTGTTCGAGTGGAACTTCTCAGGAATGGAGTACGGAGGGGAATGATGTATGTAATATGGCGAGTCTTAGCCGCGAAACTGGTGGAATTAAGGGATGTAGTTCGTCTGAGCACTTTCCATAGAAATAGAGATAGAGTAGTGATAGGCTTGTGACGTTTCATCTGAGAAGGAGGAGTTGTAGGTTGGAAAATAACTTGTCACCCACGGGGAGATGTTTTTGTCTCTATCGAGACTAGAAAGTGGGGCAGCTCCTGCCCAAATATGACAGCAGTACGCCATTTTAGGTCTGATCTGGCTCTTTTAGAGGATGACACGAGGAGTCAGGTACTTACTGGAGCGGTACAAAGAACCGACCATTTTTACAGCATCTTTGGTGATGGATTGTATGCACGAGATCCACTTGAAGTCTGGGTTTAGTTTAAGGCCCAACAGTCGCAGAAGTCACGTGGCCTCCCTGATGGAACATCCATTCATCGTGATTGGTGATAGTTCAGTGTCCGATCGGCGATGATGTAATGTAACGTTTGGTTTTCGAGACATTGCATATAACCAGCCAACTTAGATGATAGAGCTAGATCGGATAACAGATCAACTGTCAATCTCCGATCGTTTGTTTAAAAAAAAAAAAATCATCACCCCTTATTTTCGCCTTTCTTTTTTCCACTTGGGAAAGGATAGCGAAAAAGATATATTTGCAAAGCAAGGGAAGGGGAGATTACACCTGAAGTTCTTATGTATTTTAGAAATACTTTATCTGTTTCCACCAAATGACAAATGTTTTGTTTTTTTCTATCCACCATCGAGGTCAGATTGCGTTTTTCTTTCGCCTACTGTCAAATAGTGCCCTTTATATCAGGAAATATATTTAAAATGGAATATTTTGTTATTTAAAAAATAATCTACCATTTAATTTTTTTTTTTTTTTGTTGTTCACTTTTTTCTTGTTGATTCACAAAATTTTTTTTTTTTTCGTGAAAAAATAATAAAAATCTAACTTTTTGAGTAAAATATTGCAGGTTTCAATGAAAATTTAAAGATTATTACAAGGACAATCGTTAAAAACATTAAAAAAGATACCTCCACAGATTCTCTAAAAAAAAAAAAAGCAAAACAAAACAAATGAGTCTGCCATGATGAGAAAATGCCCCAAACGTCTTTTGTTATTATTAAAAAGAAAGACCAAAGGATGTTTTGATTATTAAATTATATTTTTAACCCTTTTTAGAACGTTTGGAATTTTGGTTAAAAATCTTTTTTTTTTTTTTTTTTTTTCTTGCGTCAGTGTGGATTGGCGGGCAAAGATTAGTATAGGAAATTTTAGTGTCTATTTTTGTGGTAAAAACATTAATTTGGAAATTCTTGCGAAAAATTAAATTATTGTCGGATTTTAATGAAACTTTCAGGATTTATTCGCAAATGAATTAAATCTTATTTTAGATTTTTTTTCTTTTTTTTTTTTTTTTTTTTTTTGAAAACATTGGTAAAAACATTTTTATTTTACAACTGTTACTCCCCCACTTCCTAAAAATTTAATTTTGTACCCTTTAATACTTTTTGGAGAATTTAAATCATCATTTTTTTTTTTTTTTTATTTTATTTTATTTTATTTTTTTTTTTTTTATAAAATAAAACCCCCAGTTACCGAAAAATTGCTCTGAATCATAAATAAAAAATGCAATAAAAATGAAGACATTATTTAATTAGAAAATATTTTAATTGCTTTTATAAATAATTAATATTATGAAAATTATTGTCTTAAGAAAAAAAGTGCATTATGATAAGAATTATTTTTGAACTTTTATTTAGAATATATAAATTATTCTAAATAAAAGTTAAAAAATAATTCTTATAAAAATGCATTTTTAAATCTTTTACATTTCTCTATTAATTTGTTCCGGTTAGGTGATATTGTTATCATGTAACAACTATATTTTCTAATCATGAACAGAAAAGCTTCTTACAATTCAGCGACCCCCAATATTTTATAAGGAATTTTGAATTTATTTTTGTGTGTATAAACGTGCCGATTTTTGCAAATACACGGCAATATCAGAAAATAAGAGCCATAACTATAGTAAATTTAAAACCAAAGTACCTAACATCCAATAAAACAGATTACGAAGAATATTTTCCTAAATTTTAAAAATTACTGTCTAGTTAAAAAATTATATAAAAAAGGCGCTCACGTTATATTCCTCGAGTAATTTTTTACAGATATGTCCACCGTAGAAAAAATTAGAAAATTTTCCGTCAGTCAACATCTTCAATAAACGTCTATCGCCGTGTAAAAAAAATGCATTTCTGCAATATTTTAAATCTAAAGGAAGTAATATTTGTTCAAAATCAGATTAATTAAACATTAAATCAGTTAATATTCTTCAAATAAAGTTTCAAAAAAGTATATTTTATTTTTTAAATATTTTTTATAAAGAGAACTACATCGGGATGATAGATGGCTAAAAATAAAAAATAAAAACTCCTTCAAGTCAATTTAGTTTTAAAATACAGCAAAGTATTCTACTTATTGGAAATATTAAATTTAATCTATTTGTATGAAATTAAAATAAAAGCTTCAAGAAGATTTTTTCATTTTCAAAAATTCATTTTAAACTTTAGGTATCGCGTTTCTTAATTAAACTATTAAGTATGCAAAAGTTCCCAGAACCTCACTTTTTTTTAAACTGGAGACTACACAATAGAGAAACATTTTATTTATGTTATTTATATAATATAAAAAAAATTTGGAAACTTTTGCACACAAAAGAGATACATTAGATATGTAATCTCTTAAATTAATTGTTTGGTTAATTTTTATTTATCTGTTTTATCTTTTTTTTCCTCATTTCTTTTCATAACTTCTAGATTTAAAAAAAAAAAATCTTGCACCAATAGTTCTAACCTCTAGGTTGCATGTATACCACTGAATCTACTTATCAGTATATGTGCAAAATAGTGCATTAATGCACTGTAATGTGGAAGTCGTTTTCTACCTTTTGCCACGCATTTAATCCTTTTCACTTCAGTTTTGATTCCTATGCAACAATGGGATTTTGTTTGAGAACGTAAAATCGAGGAAAATTATATTGGATTTGATGAGAACAAAGAATTTCTGCATGTCTACGTCTTTTATCTTGATGCAGTTGAATACGGATTCTTAAAAGCATTATAAAATGGTACTTTTTTCATTTTCTTTCCCTTTTTCTTGTGCGTGCGCAAGAAAAACATTTCCTATCGATGTTCAACAAGCCGTGTTCAACTAAGAAGAGGGAAGCTTACCTGGGAAGTGTAAAAAATTCTCTCCTTCTCCTGCAACCTATACTCTTCTCCTCTAACCGCTACTCTTTCTCTCTCTCTCCCTTCCCCTTCTCTTGCAGTCAGTTCGCCATTCTCTCTTTGTCTTGCAGCCTGTTCTCCTTTTCTTGCAGCCCGTTCTCCCCTCTCCCCTTTTCTTGCAGCCCGTTCACTCTTCTCTCCTTTTCCGACAATCCATTCTCTCTTCTCTCCTTATCCAACAGTTCATTCTCTCATCTCCCCCACCAACTACAGCCCTTTGTCTCTTCTCTCCTCCTCCGTCTGCAGCCCTTTGTCTCTTCTCTCCTCCTCCGTCTGCAGCCCTTTGTCTCTTCTCTCCTCCTCCGTCTGCAGCCCTTTGTCTCTTCTCTCCTCCTCCGTCTGCAGCCCTTTGTCTCTTCTCTCCTCCTCCGTCTGCAGCCCGTCATTTCTTCTCTCCTCTTCCTTCTGCACTCCGTTATCTCTTCTCCCTTCCTCCTCCTGCAACTATTTTTCTATTCTCCCCTTCTCCAGCAACCCGTTCTCTCTTCTCCCCTTCTCCTGTAACTTGTTCTCTCTTCTCTTATCCTGTGGGTCCGTTCTCTTCTCTTATCCTGTGGGTCCGTTCTCTTCTCTTATCCTGTGGGTCCGTTCTCTTCTCTTATCCTGTGGGTCCGTTCTCTTTTCTCCTCTTAGCAACCCGTTCTCTTTTCTCTACACTCTCTGCAACCCTTTCTCTCTTTCTCCCGCCACCTTACACTTCTTTCTTTTCTCTTATTCACTGCTTCAATCTTCGACAAGCTTTTCTTTGTTAAAATAAATTTCCACCATGCTCATATCATTTTCTCATTCTGAGCGACTTCTATCCAATAAATTAATGAAATGAAGATATACCAAATAATAAAACGATCCATGTTATAGATTCCAGTTTTTTTAAAAAGGTGTTTGAGCTTTACTCAAATTCTTTTTTTATCTTGTGTTAAAAAGGATATAATATGGAAAGCTTCCCGCATTGTCTTTCTGCGAATTGTCGGAAAGGAAAAACTGTAGAGATAATATACTACACTTTGATCCCAGTGTCTTCTCACTTCCCCACAAAGGCATGACACAAAGACTGTTTTTAATGTGGTGTACCCATACGGCAAATATGGGCCAATGACAAATTTTGTAGAATGAAGGTGGTGCTACGGGCTTGGAAGCAGAGATCAGGCTTCTCTCATAATTTTAAGAAGAGAGAACAATCATCAATAATTATCATTCCACCGTAATCGGGATCATTGACTCAATGCAAACAATCCTTTCTTTAGCTGTATAGTATGTGCTACGCCAGAGCTACATACAGTTTTGAATTCAGTTATTTTCTCCTAGACCGGTTGCCACTCAAGGCTATAGAACCCGGTCTGTCCTGCTATTTTACTCTTAGTGAACTGATCTCACATTTTGATATTATTTTCCTGACATGCCCACTAAGGCAGGATATGACAAAAGGTCATATTTTTGTGGGGATCCCCATATGCGTATATATGGGCCAAGGACTAAAATTACTCTGTTCCCGAGATCACTGTCTTACATCGACCCCCCAACACTCTTAGTCCAATGAGGAAGGTGCTGATGCAGGGTTGGGATCCCTGGGGACAGGCGCTTTCTCCCATCTAAAATGATAACAGATACATGATCCCACCCCGAAGTTTCTCGGCTGAAATGCTGCTGAACTATTATTCTATACTTTAATCCAATGTGGAAGACACGAATTTTATTTATTTATTTATTTTTTTCAATCTTTTCACCTGAATCAAGGTAATAATGCCGCTAAAACCTTTCGGGTTAGTATATTTAGCTACCCCCACCCACGAGGGTTGCATGTGGCACAAGACCGGTTTAACGTGGGTTGTCCGAGCCCGTAGGCTCGGCCAAAAATATTCCCTTTTGAACCCGTATAAACGGGTTCAGGGGCAGTCCACCTCGGCGGAGCCTCATCCGAAGGCAGAGAGGTCGACTGTTTAGCTGGAACAGATCCCAGCTAGTCTCGGGTTAGTGGGAGTGAAAGAGAATGATCAAACATTAATGAGGAAAAAGGACAATAAAAAAAAGCAGGTGAAGAAGCTGGCGATTGACGCTGCATTTAAATTTTTGGAGATTGTAGTTATCAGGGAAGCAAGAAATCTTAAGGGAGTTCCATAGAAGAAAACTATTAGAATAGAACTTACGGTTACATGTAGCCGTTTCATCAGTAAAACGATGAGACCTAGTCGCCAATCTAGTAGTACGCTTAAATTCATGTGGTCACAGTTCAAAGGAGGAGAACAATATTTATTCTGTAATAAATACAAAAATGTGGCACAAAAGGGGAAATGGGAAAAGGAAGGTCTTCTGTCTTAAACTTAGCTAGCCACAATCACTAACCCAAAAATACCGCAATATTCCTTGCACCACAACAACCCATTTTTACTTACCATTCTTACTACATTCACTATAATGCCTCTGAAACTCTATCAAATCCTAATTATTCCTCATATTCTTGTCTGTGGGGCGGAGGGAATAAATCAACAAATTAAAAATCTAAACCCCAATGTGTATTTGCAATATGAAATATTCGAGGAGAAAGCTAATTAGAACAGTTGCCATGAAAATATTTATAGAAAAGACAGAGTGAAGCTACATCATGGCGATGAGAAAGTGACTGAAGTCGAGAGAACTTGAAGTTCCTTCTGCTGTCTTCAGGAAATTTGACTTTCCCTTCGTTTGTTGGTATATCATTTACCCGCCAAACGTTGGCTTAAAAGTGGTTATATAAATCAGACCATATTTTCGATCTAACAATATCAGGACAGGTGAATCCGATTGAAAAGATTAAAGGGAGATTACCGATAAAATGACCTCAGATTATAATGGCTGATATGTAACAATTACACTCTTAGCAAGACTTTCATCAGGGGATTTTTTTTCATTAAATCCCCCTTTTTATACCTCATTCATGGTGCTTCAGCTCCTTTTCACTGGTTTGGTTTGGTTTGTTTGTTTAACGGCATATCAACTCCTTATGGGTCATTTAATACCGAAATTTTATTCTCTTGTGGGCTTTGGTATTTTTTTTTTAATTGCTGGTAATTTTTAAATTCCTTTTTTTTTCTTTTTCTTTTTAACTATGAAAATGTACCGCCGGTAATATTTCCTAATATATTTTTTATATTTTCGTGTTTTGACCCCAGTTTTTTTTTTGGGGGGGTCACTATTTGCCCATAACTGAGACCCTAACAGGTGCTACCACCCTGGGTCAGGGTGGACTTGGGAACAACAGCAGTTAAGAGGTGGTTTCACGCTCCTCAAAACCTCCTGACCAGAGGCCTTACTGCCGGATGTAGTTTATCGTCATACCTAGGACGGACCTTTTTTTAATGGAACTGGGATCTAAACTAATTAATTAATGGAAAGGTATGCATCCACCTCTTCTCCCGCCTATGGGTTAATTAGCAGGACTTTTATCAGTGAATCATTATTATCTCCAAAAGATTCTTACTATCTCAAAATATTTTCTGATTTTAAATAGCCTGCAAAAAAATCAAATTAATCAATCAACTAAACCTACGTTTAACAACTGATTTTCTCCTTTCCACAGTTTTTTTTATTTATTTTGTGACCCCTTGATGTCTTTGTTTGTCGTATTGATTCTCTTCCAGTACCGCACTTCCAACGAATGATAATTTGATCTTTTTCTACAACACTCTGATTGACTGGCTGAACTTATTAGTAGTTTAGCGAAGCTTTTATTGTCATGAAGTATATCCTGTCCTTACTGACTCTTCACTACAATACACGTCGCCCGTTGACTCGAGTATGCGTCTGTCGTCTTTTTTGTTTTGTTTTGTCTGTCCAGCTTTATTTGATTCTAAGCCGTTTTATTTTGCCTGCCTCCATAAGAGACGGGCTAATCTTGACTATTTAATCCCTAACTGATACTTGAAGCATCTTTGCTCTCCACCTTTTCAACATCAGTCGAGTTAATGAGGCTAAAGCTATACCCTAGGTCCTGGCATAATTATACAGCCATCTAGTGACCAATATCAGCTCCCACTATCAATGGATTGTGTTTGACTCAACCAGGTTACTTAGTTTTTTTTCTTTGTAAAGCCAATAAATGCAATACGTTTAAGTACAAAATCTGATTATATGGCTTCTCCCAACACTTATTCCAATATATAATTTAAGAGGCATTATTAGACATCATCCTCCCTTTTTCGCTCGCTATCCTTTTCTTTCTTTCTTTTTCTTTCTTTCCTCTTGTTTCTCTCTCTCCTCTTGTTTTGTTTTTGATCTCTCTCTCTCCTTGTTCTCTCTCTCTCTCTCTCTTTCTGTGTTCTCTCACTTTTTCTGTGTTCTCTATCTCTTTTTCTTTGTTCTCTCTCCCCCATTCTTTGTTTTCTCTTCCCATTCCCATTCCCTCTTTTTTTTTTTTCCTCTTTTCTCTCTCTCCCGTCCCTTTTTCTCTCTCTCTCTCCCTCCCTCTTTCTCTCCGCCTCTTTTTTTTCTCTCTCCCCCTTTTTTTTTTCTTTCTTTTCTCCGCCCCTTTTTTTTTTTTTCTTTCCCGCCCTTTTTTTTTCTCCTTCCCTTTCTTTTTTTTTTTCTTTCTCTTTCTCCCTTTTTCTTTTTTTTCTTTCTTTCTCCGCCCCTTTCTTTTTTTTCTTTCTTTCTCCGCCCCTTTCTTTTTTTTCTTTCTTTCTCCGCCCCTTTCTTTTTTTTCTTTCTTTCTCCGCCCCTTTCTTTTTTTTCTTTCTTTCTCCGCCCCTTTCTTTTTTTTTTTTTTTTTTTTTTTCTCCGCCCCTTTTTTTTTTTCTTTTTTTCTTTCTTTTTTTTTTTTTTTTTTTTTTTTTTTTCTTTCTTTCTCCGCCCCTTTCTTTTTTTTCTTTTTTTTTTTTTTTTTTCTTTCTCCGCCCTTTCTTTTTTTTTCTTTCTCTTTCTTTTTTTTTTTCCGCCCCTTTCTTTTTTTTTTTTCTTTCTCCGCCCTTTTTTTTTTTTTTTTCTTTCTCCGCCCCTTTTTTTTTTTTCTTTCTTTCCTCGCCCCTTTCTTTTTTTCTCTCTTTCTCCGCCCCTTTCTTTTTTTTCCTTTCTCTCCCCCCCTCTTTTTTTTTTTCTTTCTCCGCCCCTTTTTTTTTTTTTTTCTTTCTTTTTTTTTTTTTTTCTTTCTTTCCCGCCCCTTTTTTTTTTTTTTCTTTCTATTCTTTTTTTTTTCTTTTTTTATCTCTCTTTTCTCCTGTCCATTTTTTTTTCTCTTTTTTTATCTCTCTGTCCATTCTTTCTTTCCCTCTTTCTCTCTGTCCATTCTTTCTCTCTCTCTCTCTCTGTCCATTCTTTCTCTCTCTCTCTCTCTGTCCATTCTTTCTCTCTCTCTCTCTCTGTCCATTCTTTCTCTCTCTCTCTCTCTGTCCATTCTTTCTCTCTCTCTCTGTCCATTCTTTCTTTTTTTATCTCTCTGTCCATTCTTTCTTTCCCTCTTTCTCTCTGTCCATTCTTTCCCTCTTTCTCTCTGTCCATTCTTTCTCTCTCTCTCTCTCTGTCCATTCTTTCTCTCTCTCTCTCTGTCCATTCTTTCTTTTTTTTTTCTCTCTCTCTCTCTCTCTGTCCATTCTTTCTTTTTTTTCTCTCTCTCTCTGTCCATTCTTTCTTTTTTTTCTCTCTCTCTCTGTCCATTCTTTCTTTTTTTTTTCTCTCTCTCTCTCTGTCCATTCTTTCTTTTTTCTCTCTCTCTCTCTCTCTCTCTCTGTCCATTCTTTCTTTTTCTGTCTCTTCGATGGTCATCTTCCATTATGAATTTGGCCGCCCTAGAAAATCAGTCTCTATCCAATCCTGATTTCTACTTAGATTTAAACAATGACCTCTGAGACAATTTACCCCCATCCCCTATGCGAACGGCACTCCTGAGGTTTGAACTTACAACAGTAATAATAGTATAAAAAATAACTTGCTACCCAATGCTCATTGGAAAAATGCCTATGGATACAGATATATTTCAAAACCACAAATTAGTAAGATAGTAATGGCGTAGGAGACTAACTTTTACCTAAGGTAATTACTCATATTAGTTTGGCACAAAGCCATAAAACTAAGGATTGCATTTACTTTGAAAAGAATGAGAGATGATCTCCCATGACAAAGAACCAACCATATATATATATATATATATATATATATATATATATATATATATATATATATATATATATATATATGTACGATTGATAAATTGTCGTCTAAATTTCGCAAAAATTAAATTAACACTGATATCTCATTTTAATAGAAATATTTACCAAAATTACGCAAAAATATCTTAAAGTGCTAAATAATAATTTTATTCAATAAAATTGCCATTGGCTTCAACCACAGCTTTCAGACGACTTCGGAATCTCCTGCAACTCTTCCTGGCGGTCTCCTTGTTTTAGTTGGTGAATGCTACCATAATCCTTGCTTTCATTCCATGGCACCCTGTGTTTGTGTGTGTGCATATATATATATATATATATATATATATATATATATGATTAGCTTACTATGACATGTTTTTGATTGAATGATCTGTGGGGTTATTTAAAGCCGAAACTTATTTTGAATTTTTTGAATAATACTTTTTTGTGCGTGATTATTGCATTAACAACCTTTTTTTAGAATAACGATGATACCATTTCTACTATTTAACCCATAGCTAAGAGAGGAAGATGGACGCATATCTTTTACAATAGTATTTTCGCGTAACTGACTATAGGGAACTTCACTGGAATTCGAACCCGGCACTTTGATTTCCCGTTTCGAGCCATTACCCATTACACAACCTATTAAGGCGTTTGGACAAGTGAACTCGCTATAACTTGAACTCAATACTGAAGTAATTGTCTGATCTCTCTCCCCCTCATATATATATATATATATATATATATATATACACACACACACACAGAGTTCAAAAGTTTGATGGCACCCCCAAAATTAGCATGGAATGAACGGAAGAGTGAAAAAAATGAAAGAGTTCTTAGAGTCATTGAAAAAAAGAATGGATTCAATTATCAAACTTATACTTTGAGAAACTTTTGCATCAAATGCCAAAGAACTGTGCTGCAGTAATCATGGCTAAAGGAGGATATTTTGACGAGAGCAAAATTTAAAAATAAATTTTTTTTTTTCTTTTTGTCATAATAAAATTTCTAATAAAAAATCATGTCTCACTTTTTTTTTAACCATGTATAATGATTTTCTTTTATTTAAACTACAAAGCAATTACTTTTTGGACCAATTTAAAAAAATTATATGTGGTGATCTCAAACTTTTGAACTGTAGTGTATATACAATATTCTTAAGAAGTTAAGAATTTTTATCATTTTAAACTCTTTTTTAGTGGATACTCGTATTTGAGTAGACGTTCCGTTTATTCATTAAACAGTATATTTATTTATTTTCGCCTATCGGCCTGAATGTTTGAGACCATAGTTTTCTCGAACATATATATGTGTAGGAAACGTTTATCAATCTAACATGACGTTTCCTATTTGATCTTTATTTTATCATCCTGTCGGATTCCGATTGATATTTGATTTGCATCTGATCTTTAATTCATATAATTGTGTATCTAGGCAACAGTCACTCTTTTATACAGGTTTCATTGAAAACGACTGACAAGGTATTGCGATTGATTTTTTTATTATATTTTTCTGCATTCGTACAAGGGGATTCTTTTCTGGGCCTAGTGTGTAAGAACTGTCCAAATGATTTGTGAAACGGGGAGGTTTCGGCTAATCAATTAAACATTATCAAGGATTTATTTTTGTTTAATTGAATATGTAGATTTATTTTTATATAGCAATGGAAGCGTCTTGCTTTCCAAACACGGTCAGAGCGTTGCAGCCGTGTTTATAATTAATATTATTGGGAGTTGGTTTTATTGTTAAAGCTACCCTTATGTTTTTTTCATGTTTAATAAATAATGGAAACATTAGCAATGTTTCATTTTTATATGCTTATTTGCATAAGAATTTTTAGTGCACATATGACATGAATATGTTTACATAATAATAATTAATTTTATTGGCATGTGGTCCAGTGGTTACTACGTTCGCATTCTGACCATGAGACCCGGATTCGAATTTATTATACTAAGCTAGGCACCCTAGTAAAACCAATTGTATTTTATACCCCCTTACCCGTTTGTACTTTTCTCCAAAATTTGGTTTCGATCGGTCAATATGTGGCTGTTTTAGAGGGGGGACGGCCGGCTAACTGAAGTCACATAATTCTATATATATATATATATATATATATATAATTAGCGAAACTGTCTCTGTGTGTGTATATATATATATATATATATATATATATATATATATAGAAAGATATAGATAAAAATGGATGCTGTAATGACAAAAGTGCGCAGTTGTAGGCTTTAAGAAAGCTTTATTCAACTGAGAATACATGGTTCGGCTATAGTGTCCTCTTATAGTCCCAGTAAACAGAAATAGCTCTCCCAAAGAGGAGAGTAACGAAACAAGGGGAGACCACTCTTGGCTAATCATAACAGATCATTTTTTTTCCATAATAATAAAACCTGACTCAGCACAAACAAGTTATTCTCAATATTTTTTTTTAATAAGAATAAATATTATTGGCTAAAATTGACAAGGTATATGCATCATAACAATATAAGCATATCGATTGGTTAATTCGAATTGTTAAAACAGTCAGTTGCATAATAAAATCCGACACCGTGTACTGAATTACCTGCACGTGTTTATTTGGTAACATCTGCTGACTATTATTTAACCTCATGTTATTTATTTCTTTTTATATGAGTAGCAACGATAGCAATAAAGTAGTTTTATTTGATATTTTCTCTTGGACTAAATGGCTCATGAGAGATAAAATAATAAAGCTTTTTGGTCTTTGTTTTTTTTTTTGTTTTTTTTTTTTTTTTTTTTTTTTTTTTTTTTTTCGGGGGAGGGGATTTTTATGTGGAGCTTTTCTTTGGAGGATTTTTTTTTGTGTGTGTGTGTGTGTGTGTTTTGCATTTCTCTATTTACCAACCTCCTCCCAAGGGCAAAAATTGCCCGTAGACCCCGGACCCCGTATACACGAGTTTGGGTTTGTCTATGTCTCCAAACGAGACACTGCCCTTCAGCATAGCCTCGTTTTGGTTCCTCTCCGCCCGGAGGCAGAGAGTTTGACAAAAAAGCAAGAGAAAGCCTCTTCCTTGTCCTATTACTTTCAAGCATAAAATAGTCTATCACCGCTTGGCGCTGAAGAGGGCTGGAGCGTGCAACGGTCGAAACGTTGTGAATATGGCAATGAAGATGAGGATAACGCCCCGAGTAATGTTAATAATGCAAGTAATCATAATACCTCATCTCAGAGATATAGACAGATATGAAACAGAAATATCAACATCGCTGATCGGAAATATACTCACTATCTGTCAACACCAGTAGAGGGAGAGTGGGAGAAATTATGAAGCAAAACAATCGAAATTAAGATGAAAGAAATACTCGTCCAAATTCATAACGATTCGCAACGTGTTACCCAATAAAAAAAAAATTAAAAAAACTCCACCATAAAAACGAATAAAGGAAAATTAGTAATAAGATCTCTAAGTTTCTTTTTTCCTATCTGTTTATGGAAAAAAATCCAACATGGAAGTGAATTGTTTTCTCTTTAATTGTAAGTGTTATTGAGAACAAAAAGAGTTTAAGTGATGTTTGATCTGTAAAATCAGTAGACTGAAAGTTACTGTAATCATAGCTTGGTTTGTTATCAATACTCAAATTAAGCTAGATTGGTTTAAATTAGCTAATGCCAGTACACGGCGTCACCTTTTCTGATGTGAAAATTAAATAACATTTGTATTAATTTGATTATTTTACTAATCAAAGAAAACGGAGATAGAATCGCTTTAATTATGAAAAATACTGCCTAGTTCTCCATTTTTTAGCTTTATAATACGGTGGAGTAATGAATAGCGGCTCTGAGAACCGAGTTCGAATTCCACTCGATCCATAACATTCACTTATACCCTTGGGAAAGGTATGAATCCTCTTCTTCTCCCTCCAAGTATGGGTAAATAGCAGGACAGACCGGGTTCTATAGCCTTGGATGGCAACTGTTCTACCGCAGAAAGAAATGGCAACCTACCTCGGGAAAAAAATCTGCCTCGTTAGTCATGTATCGAAAGATACGTGATCGCCTAAGCGTGTATCACGCATGGCACATAACGGGTCAAAATACGGGTCCCTTCAGCGGTATTGCATTAGTAATTTCATTTACAAAATTGTATTGCTGCTAATATTTTTTTCCAAAAATGAATTACAGGTCATTTTTTTTTTTTTTTTTTTTTTTACGATGAAAATGTATTAGTGCTTTTTTTTTTTTTTTTTTTTTTTTTACTATAAAATGTATTTTATACTTTCATAGTGTTTTAACCCCGGTTTGGGGGTTAACTATTTGCCCATAGTTGGGATCCTGAGTCAGGGTGTATCTAAGAACAACGGTAATTAAGAGGTAGTTCTACACTCCTCAAAACATCCCGATCAGAGGCCTTGCTGCCGGATGTAGTTTATCGTCATACCCAGGACATTGCATTTTGTTTGACAACAGGTGAAAATGGATTCTTACAAACAACTACAGCAACATCCCCCCCCAATTATCAGAACGTCTACAGATCGATGTTCATTGATTGATTGATTCTTTTTTACGGCTTATCAACCTTTCGCAATTTATTTAAAGCCAGAAAATATTGTTAGATTGTAACAAATTTTTTCATAATAAAATGGTTTAGTGATACAAGTCTTACTAATTAACCCATAGCTGGGGAGAGAAGAGGTGGATTCCTATTTTTCCCAAGGGTATTTGCACTTAAGTGAAAAATAACGAGTGCATCGAGAATTGCGATTCCGAACAGCATATCCAAATTTACAGCACTTGGTACTCTCAAGCGGCCACCATCTAGGTACTAACCAGACTCGATGTTGCTTAACTTCGGTGATCGTATGGAAACCAATGTTTCAA